TCATTTTGACTATTTATGGCTGCAAATAAATATTTCAAAAATATGCTTCAATTTCGACCAAAAAATCTCACAAAATATTTCTATATATAGTGTGAAAAGAGCCTTAGTTGCATTGAACCAAAATATAGTTCAAAATTTTAAAAATTTAAGCACTGTATGGAATTATCGGATATATTTAAAATATTTATAAAATTTAATGGACGAATTAAATTATAAAAAATAACGTATATATAAATATATAATTAAATATGTATATTTCTATAAATCAATAATAGTGAGAGCTCTGGAAAGTGAATACTTTCTACTTTTCCTTTTATTATTTGTTGCCAGTAATTCTTACTCTTCCAACAATCATCTGTCTTCTTAATATATTGTTGTTATATAATCTTATCTTAATAAATAATTCATTATGTTACCATTTCTAGTCTCCTGAAATTTATTATAAACAAATACTTTGATTCTTCAGTATTTTTTTTTACTTTTTCCTCTTACCACGAATTCCTATTATACCAACTATTTTTAGTCTTCTTTAACAGTTTTTGTCTTTTTATTTTTGCTTAAGAATCTTCAAGCAACACTAATATAATTTTATCTTATTAAATAGTTCATTATCTTATTATCTGTCTTACATTTTATTTTAAACAAACTATAATTTAAACAAATTTTTAATACTAATTTTATTGTACCAATTTATTATCAATTATTTATACCAGATGATTTGTGTCTTTTATTTTAAGACTTTAAAACAATATTTATATAATTTTATCTTTTTAAACTTTTCTTAACTTCCCATTTAAAATTTATTATAATCTATATTAAATATTTATAAGCCTTCTCATGATTTAATAATTAATCAACATATTTTTTTACAAAACAGAGAAACTACTTTTAATTTTAGCAAATTAAAGTACAAATTTGTTTTCTTTTTGAATAAAATTTCATTGCTTTTCATCAATTTTTTTTAATAAATAGTGTCAATAATTGGCAGGTCCAAATTTAGTATGAGTAATTTTCTTTTGTCAATTTTACACCACAATCGTGTAATTGATTAATTCTTTAAAAAATATTCCATATTGTTCATTTCTTCTTATTTATGATATCAATCTAATTTTCTTTTCACTTTTATAAATACTTAAAGAAATGCAATAAATTTATAATATTATTTTTTTGCTTAAACCTTGTCTTTCAAACAAATATGAATATTTTTAATATTTAAGCATTTGTTCGTGTGACTCTATAATGATATTTTTATTAATATATAAATATGTGTATATGTATATGTATTATGCTTAATATTTAAATGTATTAAATAATAGTATTAGAGAATAATTTTGTATACGTGTCAAAAAGTATGTAACGATGATATATTTATACGTGGATGACAATAAATTATATGAATTTAATCTCAAAATGATGGTGTTGGGTATTTACTTAATTATGATTTGGTAAATTGGATTTATCTTCATTTAATTTTTCACGAAGGAAAAGGAAACTGGGTGGACTCTTTGGGAGAAAAATGCATGTGATTGACTACTTGCCCTGAATAGAGAATTGATGATTTTTTTACAATTTTAGAAGTCAGATTTATTTTTATTCTGAAAAGAAAAGGGTAGGACTCATTGAAAGAAATATGCAGTCTAGAAATAAATAGTTGAAGCAGAAAATTGAAAGGTAAGTTAATATATATTTGTGTGTATATAAATAAATAAATATATATATTTATATATGTATATATAATGTGTGTGTGCGTGTGTGCATGTGTGCATGTGTGCATGTGTACATATGTGTGTACAACAAATTTAATTCAATTTTCAAATTGCTTCTAACAATTATTTTTATCTAATTTATAAATTATTTTTCATACATGACACGGTGATATAAATGATTTCCTTACAACCTGGACCTGCCTTTGCATATTAATAATAATAATAAGATATACTGATCAGAGACATGAACTCACTTTTAATTTGGCAAAATTATTTTTTCGCTAAAAATCTTACCATGAAATTAACTATACTGCATTAAAAATAAAGTTGAATTTAAAAGAACTCTACTGACTATTAAACTGAACTTTTTGATCCTCTAAAAACACTTTTGAAATGATATTTATATAAGATAATAAAAAATAGATTAAAACATTATCTATAAGGATCAGAGACATGGACTTTTACAAAGTAACTTTTATTTTGTCAATACTTTTTTTTCTATTTATTTACCTGAAGGAGTTCTTTCCAGGAATCTTTGGGCTAAGATTTATGGATATATTTTCTTTGTGTGGATAAAAATGCACTTGTTGCACTTTTTAAGAAAATGTACAGATATTTTGTACCGTATCTAAAATGGACAATGTCAAAGCAGGGATGGACTAGAAAATGAAAAAAAGGTGAGGCATTTTTTTTACCTGCATGAATCATATTAAAAACATTTTTTATATCACTAAAAATTAAATATATATTTTTATTGACTTTAAAATTAGTAATAATTAGGAAATTTTTAGATTATTCTATATTTGTTTTAAGATTTGTTATAAAACGGTCATAAGATACCAAAAATAATGTAAAATGTATTTAATTAATTGTTAAAAAATTTGGAATTCGTCAAGACAAGACAACTTTGAACAAAAAGTTTCTTAAATATGCAACTTTCTTGGTATAAAATATTCGGATTATAATTGAAAGAACATAATTCTAACATTTTATAGTACTGTCTGTATTCTATTATTCAATTTTAGTTCAGATTTAAGTTGAAAAGGAACTCTACCAACGAGCACACTCGATTTAGATTAAAATAAAAAAAGGACTACTGACAAATATATTTTTAACATTTTATATTACTAGTTTTATTTTATTATTAAAAATTAATTTAGATTTGGAATGAAAAGGAACTCTACTGACGAGCAACCTGGATTTAGATTTAAATTAAAAAAGAATATGTTTTTAACATTTTATATTATTGTATTTATACTATGATTTAATTTTAATTCAGATTTAAAATGAAAAAGGACTCTACTGACGAGCAAAATTACTCTCATCTCATAAGCATATTTTTATGTAGATAGCGAATTTTTAATATAATGTTGGACAAGAGTGCTTTTAAAGTTTCTCAGATTTGTATATAAATAGTATCCTCTTATGTACATCCATGATATTGTTGTCTCGTTCACTCGCTTGAAAATAACGTACTTGTCTCTCTTTCTTTCACCAAATTGTTTTTCAACACAAATCAGAACTTTTATATGGGTTTTTTGTTTTTATTCCAATCGATATTTGAATTATAAAATGACTTAGGAATATTTAATATAAAACATTAGATTTTGTAAAAATACTAAGTTGCTTTAAAATTTGATATCTTGTCAAAAAAAGTTTCAATTATTTACATAAAGTTGTTTATAAAAATTAAAAATAAAGTTTCAATTTTTCATAAAGAGCATTTGTTCAAAAATATCAATTCTAGATAATAGTTATCTCGAAAATTTAAACTATATTTGTAATTTAATATTTTATATTTTCTATTTTCTATTTCAGCTCTGGAAATCAGCAACAAGTCCCTTAATTGCGCCCCGCAGATTTTGTCCCTTGATAATTTGCAACTCCGGCTAGGAGGGACTCGGCGCTAATGCAAAAGGCAAATCTGGCTAACAACAGGTAAGTACATTACCGTAAATACCTGTTATTTACTATTACCTTTCTACTTCCTTGAATTAAATATAATAGAATTATGTGGTAGTGGAAAAACATACTTTTATTATTTACAACGGTTGGAATTTCTTAAAAAATCATAGTTTTTTGAACATCTTATAATATAAATCGGTACTTTTTTATATTTGATATGTATATGCTTTTCATAGCTAAGGGGGTATTTTTTTTCCTATCCTCCCAAAGACTTCCCTGACCATCAAATCTCAACCGAAATGTCACGGACGCATCTATAAAACTAGAGCGTTAAAAAGCCATCAAATGGGGGGGGCCCTTTTGATAACCTGAAAGGTGACAATGATAGCCGTCCAAGTCCGTTCAGTACGTCCATCCAAGTCGTCTTTAGACGTCATAAAAATCGATCATAAAACTTATTTACTGCCGAGAGGAAATATTTGCCGTCGTAAAAGATGGGAATTAAATATAAATCAAAACTGGATTAAACCGGCGTCGAATGTAAAGGAAGGGAAAAGGATACAGTCAAGTGGTAAAGGATAATTGTTGTATTAGTCCTTTGATAATTGTTGATTGACGTATATGCTCGTCATGATATAAGAAGTGGTAGATTTCTGCATATTGATGAGTATATTCGTCGACGGCTATTTTAAATTGCGATTTTGGAGCAAAACAAAACATATTTGTTAGGATATTTCAACTGTTAATTTTTTAAAAATCATGTTGTATTTTTTATGTTTTTATAGATAAAAAGGAGAATGTATATATAATAGGGTGGTCCTTAATATGGACATTTTCGAATTTCCTTGCTCCCAAGGGCTCAAATGATTCCAAATTGATAAAAAACAATTCTCTAAAAGTTTTAACTCTTTATATTAACATTTAGATAGTCCGAAATTCATTCAAAGTTTTGTATGGAAATAGCATGAAACAATTTTCAAAGATTTTGCAGAGCGTCGAATTTTTAATAAAAAATAACACGAATTTTCAATTTTAATTCATTTGTCGCTAAATTATACCTAATTTTTTTTTCAAAATTTTTTTCATGCTAATTCCATACGAAGTTTAATTGAATTGCGCACTATCTAAAAATTAATATTAAAAGCTAAAACTTTCAGAGAATTGTTTTTTATTAATTTGGAACCACTTGAGCCATTGGGAGCAAGGAAATTCGAAAATGTCCATGTTAAGGACCACCCTAATATATATATATATATATATATATACATATATATATTTAATTCTATTTTAATTAAATTGTCCCCATAAAATATTTTCGTTCAACCCTATCGTTACTTTATAGTAGTCCATATTTGAAACAACAGGTGTCTCTAAATAAATGCCGCAGGTGTGGAAAAGGGTTGCAAATCCAATAAGCCCTTAAAAGGATGTAGCCAGAGACTCCGGAATCATAATGGCAAAAATGGGGTTTATTATTATTAATGCCAAAAGACGGATCATTGGGGTGAGTGCACCACATAATATTCATACAGTTTGATTGTAGATTAGTTTTTACTTCTTGAACTTTTCTTGCTGCTTGAAATATTATGTTACTTTTATAATGATTTATGTATTACGTTATATCATTGGAAAGTCAATGGAATTATCTATAAATCTATGTATAACAGTTGATATCATTTGGAACAAAATTATATTTAAAAAATTATCAAAAATACAAATGATTTTGTGACTTTATTCAATAGGTGCGTTGGTTGCACATTTTTATGTTTTAAATAATTTTCTCAATAATTTATTTTAACACATCTGCATTATTATATATCATTAGAAAGCCGATAAAATTGTCTATAAATCTGTATATAACAAATAATATCGTTTAGAATAAAATTATATTTAAAAAAATTCTGATACATAAAAAATGCAATTCGATTTATTTAGACATTTCTTATATGCCTAGTAGTACTATAGATGCACTTTTTTATATTTGACGGTATTTTCCTGATAATTTATTCAAACATATATGGATTATTATATATCATTAGAATTAGATTATATTATTATTATATTATTAGATTATATTATATATTAGATTATATTAGATTATATATCATAGGTTCAATTCTTTTAGGAATCAAGTTGTAGTTTCTATATATCATTAGAAAGCCAATAAAATTATCTTTCAACGTGTATATAACAATTGATATCGTTTGGAATAAAATTATATTCAAAAATTTGTTCAAACATAAAAATTGCAAATCGTATTATTTCTCGGCGTTTTTGATACGCCTAATAATTGCGTGGGTCGCACTTTTTTATGTTTTACCGTATTTTCATAATATTTTATTCAAACACATATATATTATGTAAAATCATTAGAAGGCCAATAAAATTATCTATGAATCTGTATATAAAATTTTATAACGTTTAGAACAAAATTATATTTAACAAATTATTTAAACATAAAAAATACAAATTGAGTTATATATATGTACACTTCTTATATATGCCTAGTTGGGTACGTTGGTTGCACTTTACATTTTACAGTATTTCGTTATTAATTTATTTTAACACATACATATTTTATTATACCATTAGAAAGCTAATAAAATTATCTATAAATTTGTATATAACGATTAATATCGTTTAGAACAAAATCAGATTTAAAAAAAATTCAAACATAAAAATCATTTGTTAACATTTCTCGCGCGCTTTTTTTTATATTCTACGTTATTTTTTTTTTAATATTTATAGAACTCGAGATATACAAATGATAATTTTTATTCAACAATTTTTATTAACCATTTAACGTTCTATTTACTTATTTACAACAATTTATCTACATACATCAAAAGTTTCCTTTATTATTTTCCTTTTATTTTAATATCGTTTTCATTGGCATCATGAAAGAAAAACCTGTAAAGAAAATAGATCCAAACGATTTTTTTTCGTGGTTTTTATTTCTGTGTAAAATTTAATGTTGTTCATAAATATAAAAACGACATTTTTTTTACCAATTTGTGTTATATCAACGCTTTTAATTTTATTGCGGACGTTGTAAAGTAAAGTTTCCCTTATTACATTTCTTTCTTCTATTTACTTAAGCCTCTCATAAATATTTCGCGCTTTCTAATTTCATTTCGTCGGGGGATGAATTTTTATTATGTGTTAAAAGTTTTACTCGTAATATAAAAAAAAAAAATTAAAACAGGGCCGAATTTGTAAATTTGTCACTTGTACATTTTTAGGCCTTATATAAGATTAGTGTTTCAACTGTTTAAATATAATTTTATTTCAAATGATGACAAGTATTATATACAGTATCATAGATAATTTTATTAGCTTTCTAATGGTCTGATATAATATATATGTGTTTAAATAAATTATTAAGAAAATAGCGTAAAATATAAAAAAGTGCAACAAACACTTTTATTAGGCGAACCGAAATATCAATATTTATAAAATATACATTTTGTATGTTTGATCAATTTATTTAATATAATATTGTTTTGAACATATTAATTTTTATTTGCAGATGCATAGATAATTTTATTAGCTTTCTAATGATACAAAATAATATGTATATATTTGAACAAATTAACAAGGAAATAACGTCAAATATAAAAAAGTGCGACAAACGTTTCCACTACCTCTACAAGAATTGTCGTTAAAATAATTCGATTTGCGTTTTTCATGTTTGACCATTTTTTAAATATAATTTTATTCTAAACGATATCAATTGTTATATACTGATTTATAGATAATTTTATTGACATTCTAATGATATATAATAATGCATATGTGTTTTAACAAAATTTGCTCTAAATTACATAAAACATAAAAAAATACACCGACGTAAAAGAAATATCACCCCGTTTTCACTTTTCGACGTTTTGGAACTAAATTTGTTTCATTATTTGTCTTTTGTCTAAGATTACTTATCGAAACATCTGGTAATAACGGAAGTTCAATTAAAAAAATTATATGTAAATCACAAAATTGTTATTAATTTGTGTTCAGAATAAAATCAAATAAAGTCTAAAATCTAAATAAAGTCTAAATAAAAACATCAAAGATTCTTGGTATGCAAATGTTTATTTTGGACGTTTTGGAACTAAATCTGTTCCATTTTCAGAACTAATGTATACAATTAGGGAATTTTGGGAATTGACTAAACCCATATCCTGTAATGTATCGAAATTAAATAAAGTACATACATGTTTTGATATTGTTTCATGAAAAAACTTAGTACGGAACCTTTTTGCACTTTTCCAACATTTTCAGCATGTGGGGTATCTAATAAAAGGTCTTTTCTAGTACAATATGATAAAGAATAGCATAAATTCTTTGCAATAATAAAATAATCATAATCGCACTTTATTGTTGAGCAAGATGTTACTGCATCGAAAATTGTGGTACGGAACCTTTTTGGACTTTTCCAACATTTTGGGCATGTGGGGTATCTAATAAAAGGTCTTTTCGAGTACAATATGATAAAAGATATGACTATTGCTTTTTTCTAATAAAGCAATTATAATTTCAAAAATATCTTAATCCAGTTAGAGACATACCTGTATCTATCATCTCTCTTTCAGGTATCTATAATATGTTTTATGGATGTTTTACAGTTTTGAAGATTTCCTAAGAATCCGTTCCTGCAACCCTCTTCGGAAATATGCAAAGAATGTCATCGGAACTGTTAATCCACAAATAGTAGTAATCCTCGAAAATGTACCTGAAATTCGAAAATTTCACCTCAGAAATTTCGAAGTGGGAGTTGAAATCCGAAAAGGACAAGGACGGCGAAAAGGTATAAATAGAAGGTCTCGATGGCATTTTGAAAATTTTGTGTCGTTTTGTGCAATTCGACGGAGGAGATAAAATTTACAGGTCAGTGGAGACATAATTATTTTGTAATAATTAATTATTTTTATTTGAAAGTGAAAAGTGAAAACTAGAAGTGCAAATAAATTCATATTTATGTTGCTACATAAAATTAAATGTGACGCGATTTGTTAGGGATAAATATTTTTAAAGCCAATTATTTTTGGCCTATTTTTAGCATTTTAGTAATTTTCTCAATTTTACTCGTCAGTAGAGTTCTTTTTTCGTGAAATTTAATATATTTCTTATTGTTGTGTAAAGTAAATTTATATATGTTGTACATTAATAAATTTTATATTAAGATCAAAATAAAATGTGAAACGATGACTAGGAGTGAATGTCTTGGAATTTCTTCCAGTTTGCTCGCCAGTAGAGTTCTTTTTTAAATCTAATATAAATCTAACAAATTATAGTAAATATTTTAACAAAATGCTTATTAAAAGTAATTATCTTAGTCTTCATATCTAATGCATTTTTTAGATATTTAGCATTTTTGTCATGTTTTTTTTAAAGTTTGCTCGTCAGTAGAGGTCCTTTATTAAATCTAAATAGCAATATATATAATATATATATATATATATATATATATATATATATTTATGCTAACATATAGTAGATATTTTAATAAAATACTCAATAAATAGTTTCAATTGTTTCTAAATCACTTTTATATTTATTTATTTATTTATTTTTGAAGTTTTCAATCAGTTTGCTCGTCAGTAGAGTTCCTTTCTCATACACATTTTTAAAGGTGCAATTTTAATCATTTTTTCCAAGTTTGCCACATTTCCTACTTTTAGGTTTAATAGTTTTTTCCAAATTTAATACAATTCTAGCAACTTATTATTAGTAAATAGTTCAATGAAATAGCTAATTAAAAATTGTCTACGATATTTCTATTTCTAGTTCATGTTTCTTGTATATTTTCAAATATTATTTATAAATTTTGTAATTTGTCAATATTCAGCTTGTTTGTTAGTAGATTTTTTTAGTGAAATCTAACATAATATCTAATGTAACTTTTTGTATATCTAGCCAAAGTTTGTGATTTATTTTCTCATATATTGCATATTGTTCTAAGTTTGCTCGACAGTAGGGTTCCTTTTTTAATAAAATCTAACGCAATCTTATTAATACACAAATTTTTTGGCCAATTCTTACGAAATACTATTAAGTTATAGTAAATAATTTAATAAATAGCTAATAAAAATATATTTGATGTTTCAAATCCTGATCTACGTTTCTGATGCATTTTCTAAATGTTGCACTTTGCACTTTTTTCCACATTTGTTCATCAGTAGGTTCCTTATTTTTAATGTATGTAATTCTAGAAATTTAGTGAACAATTTAAAAATTGGCAGTCCGATTTTTATGTGGACCATGTTTTAGATTCGTTTTTATAATTTTATTCTTATGGAAAATATAGTTTTGTTCCTCAATAGAGTTTCTTCTATAAATTCAAATAAATTGGAAAACCAATATTTTCCATAAGATTTTTTATAGACTAAGTTGGAAATTATAGGTTGTCTAACTTATAATTTAAACTAGTTGTTATTGGCTTTGAGGCAATTTACATGAACTTCCCGATATGTGTAAATAATCGACTTAATCAATAAAAAATGAATTAATTTATGAGTGATTAAAAGTATTCCGAGTGGATTTATTACACATGATTGAAAACGAACGAACACGTTAACTCGGAGTATTTTCTTAAAGCAAATTTTCAAAAATCAACAATTTTTATAATTATACCAGTATTCGTATGATCTTAATGGTTTAGTATGTTCAATAAGACCAGGTACTCTATCATTATACCAAATAAATCGTCTAATTTTAATTTTAACAAACGTCAAATAAACTACTCTTTTTCTCATAAACTTTGATGAATTTTTAAAATGAAACTACTTGTTGTAAGGCCGTAATAATTCAGTAAGTTCTACAAGACCATAGTATGTATCGCCAAAAAAAGTTCCATAAAAATCGGCTTAATTTAATTAATTTAAATTTTAATTACAAGAAAACGGCTCGGTAGATTTTTACCTAAAACTAATCAGTATCATTCCCAACTAATATCTTTCGAACAGTTTCTAAATTTTTAAAATTGGTTCGGTAGTATGAGCTTAAATGTGGACGAAAAGTTTAACACTTTTTTCCAAATTACAAAGAAACGGCTTGGCAGATTGTCGCACAAAACTGACAAATGAGCCGTTCAGTGCACACAATGACTAACTCCAAAAAACAGAAAGTGGAGAAAAGCGATGAAGTAATGCACATTGCTTTTAAAAATTCCTGTAATAATATAAGTTGGAAAATATAATGTAGAACATATAAATACATATATAGCTTACATGTGACGGCATATAAGGTTAATTACAGTAAATAGTGAGTAAATAATTATAATTCAAGTTAAAGATTTGATATGACTTGTGGAGTTAATCAAGTTGTCAACTGAAAAAAAATAATAAACCTAATTCTTATAAATATTTGTGTTAAAGCATTTTCATAAAAATAAATGTTAACTGTTGTAATATATTATTTGTGATTAATCAGTAATTCTATAAATAATATTTTTTCTATCAGCTGTATTTTATGATGATTAGAATAATTTCTGTCAATTTTTCGTAGTGGGGGGAATGAATTTTAGCAAGTCCTTTATGTCTCTCAATTTTTCCTTTTTTTAAGTTCTAGCTTTATAATATAATAACGACTATTGTATATTATTCAAACAATTTGGTCAACCTGGTACAGACTTTCTTATATTAATAGCTTTAAAATACGTATCTTCATTATAGACACGTTTAAATTATATAAGATTGGCTTATATAAGATTTCTAACTTTATCCAGCGTATTTTAAGCAAATTTACTGGATACTCTGTAATGGTTACTTTTCTGTTAGTGATTGTTCTAATGGCTTTGTTGATAAAAAATCTTCGTGGAATATTTGGATTAACTAAAATGACGCTTTCCTTTTACATGTTTTTATTATATTGTACCAATTATCTAGTGAAAAAACTTAAGTTTTAGATCAACTTCTCTAGTTTATAAAAAAAAGTGTGATCTAGATCTTGTTCTTGCGAAAAAATTGTATTTATCTGAAGACTTCAGGTCGGCAATATATATTTAATACAGATTTCTAAATAGTCCTATATGATCGATGATAAATAAAAGTCTTTTATTTTTTCCCACCATTTTTAGCACCATGCAGAAGTACTTCATCCTTTCCCTGCTCCTCGCTTCGGCCTTTGCCGACTACCAGCCCTCGTCCCAGCCGGATTCAGGCAGCGCCGTCGACCAGGCTTTGGCGGCGCAGCAGGAGCAGCAGAACGCCATAATGGCAGCAGCGATGCCGCCGCCGCCTCCTTACTACGCCAGCTACGGCCCTCAGGACCCCGTTCAACAATACGTTGCCAATTACGGACCTGCCAATATACCCGTCGGGTACGGGAATTATGGACCTGATCAGGGATACGCCGTCCAAACTGGGTAATAGTAAAAGAATTATGTTGAATTAAGGGATTTGATGTTAATTGCATGTGCGAGTCCCACGCCGGAGATCCTCGGATCGAGTCCTGGCATATAATACCGAATTGCAATACTGACTGATAGTAGAAATAGAAATATTGAGACACGGAAATGTTTCGAGATGCAAGTGTCTCGAGATAAGATTGTTTCAAGATACGAGTGTTTTGAGATACGATTGTTTCGCGATACAAGTGTTTCAAGATATGAGCTGCCAAAAGAGCGTTTTCCGGCTTCGGTATACGAGCAAAATTTGAGATATGAGCGTTGCGCGAGTAACAGTTTTCTAGAGAAACGTTAATGGCAAAATAAAAATCCGAAAAATTTCATCAGATGTAACAATGATTTTTTTCCTGCCATAAAAATATTTTGGCTGTTTGGCTCATTAGGTCATTGGGTTGAGAGCAACGAAATTCAAACTAGTGGTGTATGGCATCGTGCCTTAAGGCAAATTGCTAGAACTTCCCGTACCGTAATGAAATATTCGAGAAATTTTAAACGTTTTCAAATATATTATTACAATTACTGTTACTTTCATTATTTTCATTGTTATATCTGAGCAGATCAAATGTAAATCATAAATCAATTTATCTCCAGAACATTTACAATCGTCATTTCATTTCGAATTCAATTTCAAAAAAATAGTTGTCTAATTTACACAAAATTGCAAAAGTGCTCCCTTATAGTCACAGTCTAAACGCAATTGCAAATAATTCTGTGCGACGCTTTCATTTATACTGTGCTTAGCTTGGCGGCATTTTCACATTTTTCAATAGTTTTCACAAAATTAGAAAAAAACTCCAGTCTAAACGCACTTGAGTAAACATTTGTACCAGAGTGGCGTTTAGACTGTGCTTAGCCTGGGCAATTTTTTGAATTTTTAATCCAAAAAAATTACAAAACTAGCTGTAAGTGGAATTCTGTCTTAAGGCAATTAGGGCATCGTGCCTTAAGGCAAATTGCTGGAACTTCCCGTACCAAAAATTATTTTTTTTTTTAAAAACGATTAAAATTGAAAAATTGAAAAAAATCTACTTCGAAAAAATAAGATTTTTGAGAAACTATAAATTGGACAAAACATTACTTTTTTTTGAAAAAAAAATTTTTTTAAAAAAAATTAAAAAAAAAAATTTTTTTTTAAATTTTTTTTTAAATGTTTTCTTTATTTTGACATATTTTGGAAGATCTGAACTTGTTTCTCAGAGCAATCGTACTGCTTTAACTGCATAGAGACGAAATATAAAGCGCGTAAGCGCGGCGTCGCTGCCTAACGGGTAAACATTGATACGGAACCCATAGGAAAATAAACAAAATTTATACTTATTGTTAAAATCTCTATAAAATATCTGAAAATTTGATGTGCATATGTCTAATGATCATTTTTGACCGCCAAATGACATTTTTTTTTACTTTTTTCGTTATATCTCCGAAACCGCTAGACCTGCCTTTATGAAAATTTGATCAATTCTTCATCTTGTCAATACAAGTAAAATGTTTTTTGAATTATTAAAATCGGACGCTCCGTTCTCTTAAAAACTGAGTTACCGTTTTCGGCACTTTTTGCCCCGTATCTCCGGAACGGCTAGACCTGCCTTCGCCAAAAACTAATCAGCACGTCTCCTTATCAATACGAATCGAATGTTTTTTGAATTATTCAAATCGGTTGATCCGTGTTCCCGAAATCGTCGACGAAAATTTGTATCCGCACATACATACACACACGCACACACACACACACACACACACACACACACACACACACACACACACACACACACACACACACATACATCCATTTTTTCTAAGGTATGCCAAAATATTCAGAAATCTCTGAAACGTAAAGATATATAAAAATTTTCATTTTCGATTTTTTTGCGATTACTATAACTTACCCTACGGGAAGTTAAATATTCTATGGAAAAAAATATTCTATGGAAAATAAAAAAGATGTAATATTTTTTTATCCTCAAAAGCAATGGTTTTATCAATACAACAATTTTTAGATCATTCAAATCGGACGCTTAGAGTTCACTCAAAAACTGCAATTTTTTGCACATTTAGCTCTGTATCTTTGAAACGGCTAGACCTGCCTTTGCCAAAAACTAATCACCTCTTCTCCAAATCATTACAAATTGAATGTTATTTTGATCATTCAAATCGGATGCTCCGTTCTCTTAAAAACTCGATTTCTATTTTCTGCACTCTTTGCTCCGTATCTCCGTAACGACTGAACCTGCCTTTGCCAAAAACTAATCAGCACATCTCCCTATCAATAGGGATCGAATGTTTTTTAAACCGTTCAAATTGGTTGATCCGTGCGCCCGAAAACGTGGACGAAAAAATGCGACATACAAAACACACACACACACATCCATTTAGTTTCTGAGGTATGCCAGTAAAATGTTCAGAAACCTTCAAAACGTCGAGAAATGCAAAAAATTTTATTTTCGATTTTTTGCTTATTACTATAACTACCCTACGGGAAGTTAAGAAAAAACAAATTAGGATTTTTTTTCAATTAGAATTGTCTTTTCAATTGCATTGTCTTCATATTGTTTATAATCTGGATTTTACTATTTGGACATTGCTCAATCTTAATCTAAAAACCTTTTCGAGATTATTAATTAACATTTTTTATTATTTTTAGCATCGAAGGATTTTTAGTGCCTGCTTCATACACACCTCCACCAACGACTACTTCCAGTTATCCATTGAGACTGTTTTCTTCATTCCCAAGGGTAAGTGATAAATATCAATAATAACTCGATATTATTTTCAAATTGAGTTTTTTTTTCAGTTTGTTCTTCAGTAGAGTCCTTTTTCATTCACTATCTTTATTTTAGTTTGCTCGTCAGTAGTCATTTATCCACTATTTTTTATTTCAGTTTCCTCTTCACTAGATTTCTTTTTTATTTACTATCTTTTATTTTAGTTTTCTCGTCGCAAGAGAGTAGAGTCCTTTTTCTATCTACTGTTTTTTATTTCAGTTTGCTCGTCAGTAGAGTCCTTTTTCTATCTACTGTTTTTTATTTCAGTTTGCTCGTCAGTAGAGTCCTTTTTCTATCTACTGTTTTTTATTCCAGTTTGCTCGTCAGTACAGCCCTTTTTTATTTACTGTATTTTATTTTTAGTTTTCATTTTCAAACCGATTCAATCAAATTTTAATAAAACCAAATGAAATAATGATCAGTAATAATAATAAATAGTAGTCTGCTCGAATGCAAGATTGCCTTTTCCTTCTTTGTTTAACATTTTAATTACAATTAAACACTTTTTTATACACTTCTACATATACCTTCCCAAACTTTTGATCAGTACAATTTGTTTTCTATCTGTTCATTTTTTTATATATAAAATTTTGTCTATTTTAGGTTTTAGCTGATGCCATAAGCAGAGTCGGAGTCTACCTTTTGGGTGGAGCAGGATTCTTACTTCTCGGAGGTGCTTTTGCAGCTCTCGTCTGCACCTTCACACCATTCTGCACCATCTCTTTCTTGGGACTCGGATTGGCTAAAGAATCTGTTAGATCTTTCATGACACCAGACAAGTAAGTTGAAATCAGAGAAAATATTCGAATCATTCAGCTGAATTAAGAAATGTTCTGCAATATTTTCATTAATTGATACATCTTTATTTGTTGATAAGCTTAATGCTTGTACCATTGACTCGAGTCGTAATAGCTTTGGTCTAACAGCAGTAATTATTATTGCAATAGATCTAAAAGTTATTAGTTATTAAGTGAAATCAAGGCTTTGTTGCAATATAAATCGTATTACTATTCATAAGTTCTGTTGAAATAAAAAAATAAAAGAAATATTTATGATGTATATATATAATATGTATATATTAATATATAAATATTTATTTTTAGATTGACTGCAGCAACTATTTTCTTGAAAGAAGCCATCGACAAGTACCAAAGTCTTCAGAAGCGTAATGTTGAAAACTCCACAAATAAACGTAGATGAATATTTTTGATAAAAGTATAATTTTGTGTGATTATTTATAAAAGTTTATATATATATATATATATATATATATATGTATATATATGTGTTATGTGAGATCTGTCCCAAGCAGTATTACTAAAGATAAATGAAATATGTATAAGTTCAAATTATAATTATATTTTTAGTTGTTAAAGTGTTGTTTTATTTTATTTATTATTTATATATATATATATATATATATATATATACATAAACAGAGTTCACGCAGAATTTGATTTTATGAACAGAAGATTTTAAATGTCTATCTAGATTAAAAGCTATTATTTTTTTGTAACAATTGCTTTTCGAATGAAAAGTAATTATTATATAGAAGAAGAGAATGAAGAAAAAAGATAAATTGATTATAGTAAAATAAACTAAAGGCACAAAAAAACTGAAGATAATATGATTAAAATATATATCTAACAATATTTTACTTCTGTTCTATTTCGTTCAGAAAAATGCCAGTTAAACCCAATTTAGATACAAAATTATACATATTATTTACTCTAATTATCTTTATTAATTCTAAAATGAATAAAGAATAAAAATTATATTTAACTCTTTCAATCTTTATGTAATCGTATTTATCGATTTGTTTAATTTTCTTTAGAATTTTTAATAATTTTGTTAAATAATAATATATTTATTTGTCTATCTATTTATCTATCTATCTATTCAATTATTTCAATATACATTAATAAATTTAGTATTTTCAATCTATTTATCTTTACCGATTCCTTTAATATCCTTGAAAATATAATTTTTTTAATATATATTTAGTGTTTTAATCATTTTTATTGATTTTATTATCTTTTAATGTATTTAGTTTATTAAATTTGTTCATTTTTTTGCTGCTTTTAATATATTTCAATATAATTCATAATCCTTTAATAAGTTTTATAATTTATTATTTTAATATATGTAGTTAGTATCATAGTATCGTTAATTTAATCATATTTATGCACATAGATAAATAAGCATGATAATATTTATACATATCTTTAATTAACTTAAAAATATTAATATATTTTAAATATATTCAATGTTTTTAAGTAATTTCATTCGTTATTAATTCATTTATAAGAATTTACTACATACATTGAAATTAATATTTCGTTCAATTAAAAATAGTTCTATTGAGCTGTTTTTCTACAAACAAACTATGTAAATAATAAAAAAAAATTAACTATTATTATTATTATTACTTATTTTATTATATCAATTTGAATTTATCCCGTTATAATTTTCGTATCCCATCCTTACATAGTCCTGTTCCATTCGTGTCATCGCAGTTGGCAACAACGGCGCGAACGAACAAGTTCACGTCGTGCAATTCGCTCGTTTGTGTTCCATTTTGCAAGCGGCCCATAACGACCGGCTTATTGTTTGGCGCCCGAAAACAATATTAAACCTCCACATGCTTCATTAATATACGAAAAACACAATCATGGCTGATATAAAGGTAAGTCTGTGCATATAATTAAACACCATCGCCACAACTTGTAATCTCACATATGTCATTTCCCTCAGTCGATGTTTGCGAGAATGTCCAATGGCGGGGAGTCTTCATCAAGTTCTGCGGCCCCCCAACAGCCACAGGCAGCCTCTAGGAAATCCACAGGAAAAATGACTATTGAAAAGACGTATCAGAAAAAGTCGCAGCTGGAGCACATCTTGCTTCGGCCAGATACTTATATAGGCTCCGTTGAGAAAACGACTGAAATTATGTGGGTTTATGACAAATCTAAAGAAATGATGGTACAAAAGGAAATCACATATGTGCCAGGTAACTTGAGTAATTTAGTAATCGGTATTGTGGAAAATTGTAATGAAGTTTACATATAGGTTATGTTTGTATACAAAGTGGTTGATTGCAAATATTGAAACAGTCAGTAGGGGGAATAGGGACGAAATGACACAATAATTACAAATTACAATCACAAAACACTCTAAAACTGAACTTGTGGTAGCGAGATTTATGTTTGGACTGACAACAGCTACAAGACTGTGACTACGATGCTCAACATCTGACAGGATTGTGATTAGAAAGTTCTTAATGTTCTAAAGTCGAATACAGTAAAACGAACTATAATCACAAACTGGCAGAAGTGATTGAGCATCATAGTCAAAGTCTTCTCGCAGTAACAAATTCAAATGTTTATCTTACTTTCAAAAGTTTATTTCTCACTTATGTTTCGATAAATTTCATTGCAATTAAGTTTTTTGATGGATTTCGATTGTATTTGATCACTTTTTTTTTGACTTATTTGATACTTGTAATTATTTTTATTAAAATCAACTTATACCCGTACTTGTGATTTTACACAATTTAATGGCAATTGTCAATTTTATTCACTTTTCGGCAAAATGAAATATTTATACAATGGACTAAATGTTTTTTTTTGGTTTATTATTTGTAATTATTTTTATTAAAATCACTGAAGTTATACATACCACCAATTGTGACATTAAACTAAACGTTTTTTGGGGTTTATTTATTATTTGTAATTTTTTCAATTAAAATCAATGAAATTATACATATAACTACTTATGATTTTGATAAATTTCATTGCTATTATCATGTATTTGATGGAATTTTGATTATTTGTCATTTTTGTTCACTTTTGGTCAAAATGACATACTTCTACAATGAACTAAATGATATAGTAATTTTAGTACAGGGTAGTTTATTCGAAGCCAAGAAAAAATAAAATTCAAACCTGTAAACGGTGTTTGACTTAACTTTTAATCTAACTACTTTTAAAACAAACCAAAGGAACATCCACTTGTAGACAGAAGAGGCTTCTATTTATTTCGAGGGCTTTTTCATGTTCTGATCCCTCGGTTGAAAAATAGAATTCTTCAAATATTATATATAATATCAAAATCAAAAGTATATTTATTACTTCCAAAATTCTTTCTAGTCATTGTTTGATTTCTAATTATGTTCATAAAATTGTATAGTGATTTATTTTTTCCAAATTGTACCATACTAAAACATAAACTTCACCAGCTTCAGTATTTTTTATTTTGATACCAAAAATAGTTTTTTTATCTATACCACAAGTTGTTGTGGTTTATCTCCTAATTTTTTGAGTTAATAATTTTTTATTTTGCGAAATTGCATTTATCAGCTGCTATGTTGTCTTGATAGATAGAAGATATGCTTTTAACGTTATAAAGTTGGAATATATTTCATATATTTTTCCAATTCAATTCTGGTTATTTTTTTCCTTCAATATGATACAAAATTAAAATTTTATTTAATTCAGAATAAGTATCCCTGTTGTAACATTTGTTATATATTCATCACTAAATTTATAATTTTTCTGCATACTTTGTAAATTTCAATTATGTGATTTTGATGTTTTTTGTTATATAATTTATTATTTAATTTTTAAATACTATTACATTGATTTGATTGGAATATATATTTTGTCGTAGCAGCGAGGAAAATATTCTTCTAGCCAAAGGGCCATTAATTATAATAATTGATTATTTTATTGTTATCGTGGTGACTTTGGAATCTAGTTGTTTTTGATATTTTTTTATTTTCTTTATTATTATACTTTTGAATCAAACTAATTGGAAGTTTGAAGGCACTCTTCCTATATAGGGCTAATTTTCTATATATAAATTTGATACATTTTTATTTTTCTAAATTACTCGAAAATTTTGTTCTGGACATTTTCTTATCTTTAGCTTAGGGTTAACTAGATAAAATTAATTACTGCTTTATATAGTCTGATACAAAACTACTGTACAAAATTAATATAAAAATTCAAATTAGAAGTTCGTACTCTTTATGGATTCGGGATACTTTTGTGCATTTATTTAAATAACTCGAAAAAATTGTTCCGGACACTCTTCTTTCTTTAGCTTAGAAGAAAGTAGATAAAATTTACTTTTATTTTATATAAACAGATTTATATGCTCCGATATAAATACATAAAATTCGTTAATACATATTGCACAAATTTGCTGTGCAAATATTAAGGACTTTTTTGCCATTTTGTTAAATTACTTGAAAATTTTGTTTCGGCCACTTTTTTTAGTTAGCTTAGCAGATACTAGAAAATATTTATTACTATTCCATGTAAAATGTTTTATATACCCACATACGATTTTTTTTATAAAAATTAGTTGAAACGCGCACTTACATTTGGAGCAAATTTACAGGAGACATTTTTTTACATGTGATTGAATTAATTGAGAATTTTGTTCAGGATACTTCTTTTTTCTCTAGCTTACCAGAAACTAGATAAAATTTATTTACAATTCCATATAAACTGTTTTATATACCCAGGTAAGATTTTTTTTTTAAATCAAAACTAGTTGGAACGCGCATTTATATTTAGAGCAAATTTACAGGGGATTTTTTTTTAAATTTGTTAGAATTACCTTAAAATTTTGTTCAGGGCACTCTTTTTTAGTTATCTTAGCAAAAACCGTATAAAATTTATTTCAAATCCATAAAAACTGTTTTATATGCTTAATTTTTTAAACGATTTTTTTTTTATCAAAACCAGTTGGAGCGCGCACTTATATTAGAGAAAATTTACAGGGATTTTTTTACATTTATTTGAATTACCTTAAAATTTTGTTCAAGGCATTTCTTTTTCAGTTAGCTTAGTACAAACTACATAAAATTTACTAAAAATCTGTATAAACAATCTCTCAACCTTCAATATTAAAAATTTGAAAAAATCAAATTTAAATTAGCAATTATTGTAAATTTGTTAAAATATATATGGTACATTGTTATACACTTCTTTAAATTACTTGAAAATGTTATTCCGGGCACTCTTTTTTAGTTAGCTTAGTAGAAACTAGATAAAATTTATTACAATTTTATAGAAATCGTTTTATGTACCCAGATACATTTTTTTTTAAATTAAACTAAGTAATCTCGCAAATATATGTTAACAAAATATGGATTTAGAACATTTTTCGCAATTTCGGGAATTAACTCGAAAATTTTATTCCGGACATTCTTTTTTCTTTAGCTTAGTGAAACTAGACAAAATTTATTACGATTTCATATAAACTGTTTTATATACCCACATACGATTTTTTTCATCAAAATTAGTTGAAACGCGCACTTATATTTGGAGCAAATTTACAGGGATTTTTTTTACATTTGTTTGAATTGCCTTAAAATTTTGTTCAGGGCAGTCTTTTTTAGTTAGCTTAGCAGAAACCAGATGAAATTTATTACAGATCCACATAAATTGTTGATTATATCCCGATACGAGTTTCAATTTTTTTTATAGGCCTATATAAGATTTTCGACGAAATCTTAGTGAACGCTGCTGATAATAAACAACGTGATGCCAAAATGGATTGCATAAAAATCGAAATCGATCAAGAAACCAATACGATATCAGTCTGGAATAATGGAGGCGGTATTCCAGTAGTTATGCATAAAGATGAACAAATGTACGTCCCTACTATGATTTTTGGACATTTACTAACATCTTCCAACTACAATGATGAAGAGGAAAAAGTCACCGGCGGTCGTAACGGTTACGGTGCCAAGCTCTGTAATATTTTCAGTACAAAATTCGTTGTTGAAACCGGTTCAAAACAATACAAAAAACATTTCAAACAAGTCTGGGGCTCCAACATGAGCAAAGCGTCCGAACCAAAAATCAAAGACTCGGATTCTGATTTCACAAAAGTTACATTCACACCGGACTTGAACAAATTCAAAATGGATAAGCTAGATGATGACATTGTCTCGTTAATGTCTCGAAGAGCTTTCGATGTTGCTGCTTCCACAAGAGGTGTTAAAGTTTTCCTTAATGGTACAAAAGTACCTATAAAAGATTTCAAAGATTATATAGACTTCTATATAAGAGGCAAAGAGGATGAAATGGGAAATCCTTTAAAAGTAGTTTATGAAAATGTAAATCCTCGTTGGGAAGTGGCAATGACTCTGTCGGATAAAGGCTTTCAGCAGGTTTCTTTTGTGAATTCAATCGCTACGACCAAAGGCGGCAGGCATGTGGATCATGTCACAGATAGTATTGTAAAGCAGTTACTGGAAACTTTAAAAAAGAGGAACAAAGGCGGTGTACAAATCAAACCGTTCCAAGTTAAGAATCATATGTGGGTATTTGTCAACTGCCTTATTGTTAACCCAACCTTCGATTCCCAAACCAAGGAGAATATGACACTACAAGCCAAGAGTTTCGGTTCTAAATGTACTTTAAATGATAAGTTTATTAATCAAGTGTCCAAATGTGGTATTATAGAATCCGTTTTAAGTTGGGCAAAGTTCAAAGCCCAAACCGAATTGGCCAAGACCAGTGGTAAAAAACAAATGAAATTAAGAGGTATTCCTAAATTAGAAGATGCCAACAACGCAGGCACCAAAAATTCCTTGAATTGTACCTTAATTATCACTGAGGGAGACTCAGCCAAATCTTTGGCTGTGTCTGGCCTCGGTGTCGTCGGCAGGGATAACTATGGTGTGTTCCCGTTGAGAGGTAAAATGCTTAACGTACGAGAAGCAACACACAAACAAATTTTAGAAAATGCAGAAATCAATGCATTGATCAAAATTATCGGTTTGCAATACAAAAAGAAATACACGACCACAGAGGACTTGAAAACTTTAAGATACGGTAAACTGATGATCATGACAGATCAGGATCAAGACGGTTCACATATCAAAGGTTTAGTTATTAATTTTATACATCACAATTGGCCTGAGCTGTTGCAGTTGCCGTTTTTAGAAGAATTCATCACACCTATTGTTAAAGTCACAAAGAAAGATGAAGAAATCTCGTTTTATTCCCTGCCTGAGTTTGAAGAATGGAAAAATGAAACACCGAATTATCAAACATATAATGTAAAGTACTACAAAGGTTTGGGTACTTCGACTTCGAAAGAAGCGAAGGAATATTTCTCAAACATGGCCCGTCATCGAATTCTGTTCAAATATGATGGGCCGTCCGATGACCACAACATCACAATGGCTTTTGCCAAAAAGTGTGTCGATCTGAGAAAGGAATGGCTGACCAATCACATGGATGAATGTAAGAGGAGAAAACTCATAGGTTTAGCTGAACGGTATTTGTATACGAAGGGAACTAAAGAAATTTCGTATTCTGACTTTGTAAATTTGGAACTTGTTTTGTATTCGAATGCGGATAATGTGCGCTCCATACCCTGTTCAATGGACGGAATGAAACCTGGTCAACGGAAAGTACTTTTTACGTGTCTCAAACGGAACGATAAACGTGAGGTGAAGGTCGCACAATTGGCCGGTTCCGTTGCTGAAAAGTCTGCCTACCATCATGGTGAAATGTCCTTGCAGGGTACCATTGTGAATTTGGCGCAAAACTTTGTCGGCAGCAACAACATAAATCTGCTCATGCCGAATGGTCAGTTCGGCACGAGGTTGACTGGTGGAAAGGACGCGGCCAGCGCCCGTTACATTTTCACAATGCTGTCACCACTAACGAGATTGATTTTTCATCCTGCCGATGATCCTCTGCTGTCCTACGAGTACGATGACAATTTGAGAATTGAACCCACATACTACGTGCCTATTTTGCCTATGGTTTTGGTTAACGGAGCCGAAGGTATCGGCACCGGTTGGTCGACCAAGATACCGAATTACAATCCTCGCCAAATTGTGGCCAACTTGTTCAAGATGCTCGACGGACAAGAACCGGAACCGATGCATCCCTGGTACAAAAATTTCAGAGGTACCATTTTGCCGGTTGAGAACCGGTACATGGTCAGCGGTGAAATATCCGTCCTGGGAACGGATACGATCGAAATAACAGAGTTACCAGTTGGCACCTGGACTCAAAATTATAAAGAGACCGTGTTGGAGCCTCTACTACACGGGACGGATAAAGTCAAGCCGGTGATAACCGACTACAAGGAGTATAATACGGACACGACTGTCAGATTCCTGGTCACTCTCATCAGCGGTCAGCTGGCCAAATTGGAGCAAGACAACGAATTACATAAAGTGTTCAAGCTGATCACAACTATAAGCTTGGCCAACATCAATGCTTTCGATGACAACGCCTGTTTGAGGAGATACGATAACGTCCTTGATATCATGAAAGAATTCTACGGTGTCCGTCTGCGATTCTATGCAAAGAGAAAAGAATACCTGCAGGGTAAACTTGAGGCCGAGTGCAAAAAGCTATCGAATCAGGCCAGGTTCATAGTTGAGAAATGCGACAAAGGATTGATTATTGAAAACAAAAAACGAAAGGCCATGATTGAAGAACTTATTAAGCGCGATTACGAACCTGATCCTGTTAAGGCTTGGGAGAAGAGGATCAAAATTGAGGAGGATCCTGATCAGAATGCCGGAGACGATGAAGAGGAAGAGGTGGAAGAAGACGTTAAGCCAGGAACATCATCGAAAGGAGCTCCTGCAGATCCAGGTATGTCATAATTACATTTGACTATAAATCTAAATTCTAAATTATTTATTATTTATTTATTTTTTTTAGAAAAAGCCTTCAGCAAACTTCTTGATGTTAAAAACTTTGGATATCTCCTTGGCATGTCCATGTGGATGTTGACTAAGGAAAAGAAGGATGAATTACTTAAACAGAGGGATATTAAGGTATTGTGCTACATTTTCACTTCTATTAACTCGATAAGCAACTTGTGTTGAATAGTTTTGTGCTTTTTCAGTTTTTGTTAAAAATTCTGAACCAATTTTGAAAATTCAAAAACCTAAAATATTTAGGTAGATTGAATTAATTATATAAAATTAATGAAGTTACTTTTATCAATTGGTGCTTATCTATGTCCATAGTAATTTTATTTTATTTCTAGCATTTATAATTTATTTCTTGCATTTGTAATTTGTCTCTTGCATTAATAATATATTTCTTGAATTAATATTTTTTGGGTTAATAATATATTTCTTGCATTTATATTTCTGACAATAATATATTTTTGGCGATAATAATTTATTACTTTTGGCATTAACAATATATTTCTTGCCGTTAATAATTTATTTCTGACGATAATATATTTTTGGCCTTAATAATTTATTTTTTCCATTAATATTTCTGATGTTAATAATTTATTTCTGATGCTAATAATATATAATATAATATAATAATAATAATATATATAATATAATAATAATTTATTTCTTGCATTTATTTTTGCATAATTATTTAATTTTGACGTTAATAATTTATTTCTGTCGTTAATAATTTATTTCTGACGTTAATAATTTATTTTCGACGTTAATAATATATTTCGTGCATTATTTTTTTTTTGTTAATAATATATTTCTTGCATTATTTTTTTTTGTTAATAATATATTTCTTGCATTTATATTTCTGACGTTAATAATATATTTTTGGCCTTAATAATTTATTTCTGGCGATAATTTATTTTTTGCATTAATAATATATTTCAGACGTTAATAATTTATTTTTTGCTTTAATAATTTATATTTGGCAATTTTAGTTCATTTTCAATATTCATAATTTATTTCTGGAAATTTTTGGTCATTTTTACTATTTATAACTTATTTCTTGTCTATTGTAATTTATTTCTTGCATTTGTAATTTGGTTTTGCAATTTTAATTTGTCTCTACCGTTTACAATTTAATATTGATAATCCTATTTTTTTCTGATCTTTTAATTAAGATTAATTTAATCATTTATTTTTGGCACTTATTGTTATAGTAGTTCAATTCTAGTCATTTTTTCCAACTCTAGTTACTTTTTGGTAATTATATAGGGTCCGTCAGATAACATTTTTTTTTTGAAAATGCTATATATATAAACTACTGAATATTTTCTCAATCTGAATCTTTTCTATTTGAAAGTACAATCCTTCTGGTTAATAATCGAAAATAATTTCATCGGAATGGCTGTCTAACTTTTAAATGGCTGGCTAAATGTTCTAAATTGCTATCAATAAAGAAAAGTTATATGGCGGACCCTCTAGTTTGACAAATTAGTCGATTTCGATGAAACTAAGACTTAATGATTTTAGCGAACATCCTAAAATATTTTTGGGCGTAAAAAAGTGCTTTAATTATAAAATAATAAGTTTAGAATAATGAGCCGCGTATTTTCATTCATCAATTGAAAATCACCTAGATTAGTTTTATCGAGTAACCAAATCTCGATATCTCCCTTAACTTACGATTTAGATTCGAAAAGTCGGGCGAAAGTTGTTGAAGCTGGCGCGGCGTTGGTGACTATTTTCCCTTGTGGCGTACGGTTTATCACAAAAGTAAAAATAATTTTGTTATATAGTTTCGTATGAATAAATATTTTGTAATATTTGGGTTTACTATACCCGGACATGCCTGAAATGCGTAATATTTGTTTCTGGCCCGAATATCGTACGCGGGCTATGCCCGTAATATTCGCTTTTGGCCTAGCAATCTCACGCGGGCTCTGCTCGTCATTTTAAGTTAAGGGGTTAATGATCTTAGCGAACACCCAAAAATATTTGCGAGTCTACAAAAAGTGGTTTAATTATAAAAAATTATCAAGTTTAGAATAATGAGTCGCGTAATTTCATACATCAATTAAAAATCACCTCGTTTAGTTTTATCGAGTAACCAAATCTCGATCTCACCATGTTAAAAGGTTTCTATAAATCTATGTTTACTATGAGCTTTCTACATCGATGTCTTTTGCATCATCCCCAGTTGGAAGAATTATATATTTGTGGTCATACGAAAACTAATTATAAAAATGTATCAAAGTTTAGAAATTGGCTGCAGCCGCAGTTGCATACTTTTGAGACATACGCCGTGCATAATATCAATTGGAAATCACCTCTATTAGTTTTATTAAGTAACCAAATCTCGATCTCACCATTTTAGAAGTTTCTATAAATCTATGTTTACTATGAGCTTTCTTTCTACATTGATGTCTTTTACATCATCCCCAGTTGGAAGAATTATATATTTGTGGGCGTACGAAAACTAGTTTAATTATAAAAATGTATCGCAGTTGCATACTTTTGAGACATGCACCGTGCATAAATAATATCAATTGGAATTCACCTCGATTAGTTTTATTGAGTAACCAAATCTCGATCTCACCATTTTAGAAGTTGCTATAAATCTATTGTAGCGATTTACATGACGTCGATGCTGATATGCTTCTTGAGTGGACTGTAATTTTTATAATCGGCGAAATATGAAATCTCTACGATGATTGTTTGAGAAAATGAAAGTCCTGTTATATTCACGTTAAATTTATTTAATTTTATTTTACAAATACGTCCTTCTTCTTTGACTGTTAATACTAGACTAAATATTTATTTGAATTTCAGGCCCGACGGAAGATATTTTATTGACTTATTTTATAACCTAATTATATGAGCCGTCGAACCTGGGCAGGATCGTTCCCTATTTACGGGATTAACAAAATTTCTCCTGACCGTTATATGAAGTAATATTTTATAATTTTACGGCGACGGTTACGCCAGATGTTTTAGTTTAAAAAATTATCCATCTATGTTTACTATGATCTTTCTACATCGATGTCTTTTACATCATCCCCAGTTGGAAGAATTAGAGATCCTGAAGAACAAGACTCCCGAGAACCTGTGGCGCGAGGACCTCGACGCCTTCCTCATTAAACTGGACGAGGTCGAAGAGAAGGAGCGCAACGAAGAGATGGGCGTCACCAAGAAGCAGATGAAGGCGATGGCCGCGAACCAGAAGGCGGCGGCGACCGGCAAGAAGAAAAAGGAAATATTGCCGAGCGAGCAGGGCAGGAAGATCGAGGCAAAGGTCACGGACGAGCTGATAAGGAGGCTTATAAACGCGGATAAAATTAAGGAGGCGAATGCGGCCAGACCCAAGGCAGAAAGGGCCAAGAAGGAAGCGGCTGCAGCGAAGGAAGGGGTGAGTAGTAAAAGATATATGTATTAACTTTCCAAAGACACAGTATGTTTTTGCCACAAAATTCTATTTCAAACTTTCCGAAGGAGAAGTTTATGTTTTCATAAAAAAATCCGATTCGCTAATTTTATGTTTTGTCGACGTTTCAAGCCATTCTGAATCGAATGAGACCAAATTTGGAAAAAGTGTGTGTGTGCGTATGTGTGTGTGTGTGTGTGTGTGTGCGCGCGCGTGTGTGTGTGTGTGTGTGTGTGTGTGTGAACAGATTTTTTGCCGTAAATAGACGTTTTCTCGAAAACGGCTGGAGCGATTTCGAAAATTTAAAAGCCACTCGATGTATCTCGATGAGGACCATTATTTATCAGTTTTGTGCAACGATCGGCCAAGCCCTTTCTTTATAAATAGCAGAAAAGTGAAAAAATTTACGTCTACGTTTTAGCCCGCAGTTCTGAATCGATTTTGAAAATTGAAAAACCGTTCGAAAGATATTGGTTGGGAATCGTGCTGATTAGTTTTTGGTAGAGATCGGCCGGGCCGTTTTCTTGTAATAAAGTGCTAAGAATTTTTTTTTCGGCGATTTTTCTTATTTTTTTTGACGGTAGATACCATAGTCTTCAGAGGTTTCTGAACATTTTGGCATACCTCAGAAAAAATGGATGTGTGTGTGTATGTGTGTATGCGTGTGTATGTACGTGTGTTCGGATACAAATTTTCGTTGACGATTTCGGGAACACGGATGATGCGATTTGAATAATTCAAAAAACATTCGATTCGTATTGGTAAGGAAACGTGCTGATTAGTTTTTGGCGAAGGCAGGTCTAGTCGTTCCGAAGATATAGGGCAAACAGTGCCAAAAACGGTAACTCAGTTTTTAAGAGAACGGAGCGTCCGATTCGTATAATTCAAAAAACATTTTATTTGTATTGACAAGATGAAGAACTGATCAAATTTTCATGAAGGCAGGTCTAGCGGTTTCGGAGATCTAGTGATAAAAGTAAAAAAAAAGCCCCACCTGGCAGTCAAAAACGATCATTAAACATATGCACATCAAATTATAAGATTAGACATTTTAACAATAAGTATAAATTTTGTTTACATCCCTATGGGTTCCGTACCAATGTTTACGCGTTAGACGGCAACGCGGCGCTTACGCGCTTCGATAATTCTTCTTTATGCAGTTAAAGCAGTACGATTGCTTTGAAAAAAAGTTCAGTATTTCCAAAATATTTCAAAATACACTTTTCTTCAGTTTCTTTTTTTCAAAAATAAGAAAATTTTTGTCAAAAATTTATAGTTTCTCAAAAATCTAATTTTTCAGTGTAAGGTGTCAGAAAATATTTATAAAACGTTTCTACTTATGATGGAATTAACCCAAAATTGTACTGAACATAGTACAGTAGTTGTTTGTTTGATCTGTGTTATTTGTTGTGATTTAGTTTGCTTTGTTTTCACAGCATAATTACTAAAAGTCAAATTAGTCCTTTGTACTCATCCTGCCATATTTGTATACAAATCATAACAGATAAGTTCAATGTTTTTTTTCTCTTCTCCAGGATGAATTTGATCAAATGGTTGACGGTTCCAAGAAGCCACTGAAGCAACGAATCAAAAAGGAAGATAAAGATAAAGACAAGGATAAAATGAAACAGACTAAATTAGATTTTAGTAAAAAGGGAAAGGTAAGCTAAACAAATTATTATATATATATATATATATATATATATATATATTACATTTGTATGTTTCGAGACTGGATGTTTTTAAAGCTTTATTATTTTTACCTATGCTGATTTTATTTTCCAACTATTTTTGTTTTCCTGCAATAGTATCATGTGATTTATTATATTAGTTGCAATGTCTTTGTAAAAAACTTTTATTCAATTTATTAATTTTATTTTTTTTTACTTTTCAGAAGAACAAAAAGAAAGGCGCCGTAAGTATTATTACAACTTATTTTATTTTACAATTTTGATTCAATTTTCTAAATTTTAATGCAATGGTTTACAAGTGTTTTGTATATACTTAAAATGTTAAAACTAAATATTTCATACTTCAATAAGAAAAATTTAATCATAATGATAAATACTGTATTTAATTTGGTTATATTTTTCTAACTAGTCTATTTTATCATTTTAAAATCTAGTCTACAAATATTTATTTAACATCCATTTTAGAGAAAGGATTCTTTTGGCAGCGAATCATCGGATGAAGATGATCCGGATTCAGATTTTGAAGCTCATGCATCTTCAGAATCTCCTAAAAGACAATTAGCAAGTCGGGGAACTAAAAAGGTAACATAATACCTAATCACTTATAAAACAGGATTTAAATTACATTGTCTATTATTATTATCTTTTTTCTTCAGCCGGTGAAATACAGTCTGCGGAGTTCAGATGAAGAAGAAGAGCTGTTTGACAATAAACAAATGGACAGTGAGCCCGTTGCTGCTGTAACCGTACTATCAGATTCTGATTCCGATGTGAAACCTCCATCACCAGAGCCGATGAATGCTGATGATTTGTTCAATTCTTTGGTCGAAGACAGGGAAGAGGAACCGAAGTCAACGGCGGCGGATAAGAAACCTGCAGCGGTAAGAAAAAAATTGCAATATTTATATTTGGAAGCATTTGAGCTCCTGGTAGCAAAGATATTTAAATATATCCATATTAAGGATTACCCTAATATAATAAAAATAATATATAATTTTTAAATTATAATCTCAATATATTATTATTCAATTACAAAATATTTAAATTTTAGAAAAAGGGAAGAAAACCCAAAGCCGGTGGTGACGATGATGGAGAGGCAGCCCCGAAAAAGGTAAATACATTTTAATTTCATTACTTAATGTGAATTTTTCAGAATAAGTT